TTCTATCGTGAATTCAATTTTTCCATCAATTTGATTTACAAACTTTAGAAACTCTTCCAGTTTTTCTCTTCCGTATGACTAAAGTGCGAAGTAATCATCCAGGCACCGCATTGGCACTGCCGGTTGTAGCGGTGCCATCTTGAAGCTCTCTTCTATTTTATTCATGTATATGTTTGCCAAAAGTGGGGAGAGTGGCGATTGGATAGAAAGTCAAAATATTTGTTCATAGATGTTCCCATTGAATGTCCTTATTGTCAGCTTGTTTAGTCTTGTTAACCACTCCCTACAGATCCGTTGTGATTCCAGGATATCTTCCGTCCAGTCCAGCATTTCCAGCAAGGCTGTTAGTGCATTTTCTCCAGAGATGTTTGTATACATGGATTACACATCGAAACTTACCAATAAGACCGTTTCTTCCAGTGCCATGTTTTTGATTTTTTGAGAAAATTCATATGAATGTTACACCGTGTTTGATAGCCTCTCATTTAATTTCCTGAATTTCAAACATATAAGCTTTGCCAATTTGTGTGTTGCCCCATACTTGTTGTTGACAATTAGCCTTAGTGGCTCGCCTTCCCTGTGTAGCTTCAATAATCCGTAGGCTGTTGGTGGTCGTGCATCCTTTCTTATGATTGAATTTCTTGTCCATGCGTCAAATTCCCCATTCATATACATATCTTTCAGTGTGGAACTTCAGAGTTGGGTCCTTGTTTAGTATACCATATGTAGTCCTGTCTCATATAATATGTTCCATCTTCTTCGTACAATGTTTCCTGTCCATTATCACTGTAGCTGCATCTTTGTCCGCCTAAAGGACTAATTGTTCATTCCTTTCCAGGGTTTTGCGTATCACGGCTAATCTGTTCCTGTGTGTAGGCTAAGGATGGGTCAAGATCTTTGAAATTAGTTCCATCTCCGCTTTGTCTCCTCAGGGAGCTTGTCGGCGATGTTGATAACCTTCACCAGGATGTCTCCTAGAAAGCCTATGTGATATTAAATTGAAAAATTGAGTCCATTTTCCAGGATTGTGGTTGTTCCGGGATTAAGAGGAATTGATGATAAGTTTAATACTTTCTTCCTCCGAGGTGACAGCATTTACTGATCAGCACGGCGATAGGAAAGAAGTATTAAACTTATCATAAATTCCTCTCAATCCCGAAATAACCGCGATCCTTCAAAAAGCCATAGTCCAGTTTCTTCATTGCTCCATTCGGGATCCAGATAAGTAGAATAAAAAAATTAATTTAACGATTTTTCGTTCATAAGTAGGGTTTCGAGATTACCATGAATACATCTCATATTAATTTAATGACTTTTCATATAGAGAGGAAGATATGAACGAAAAGGAGAATACATTAAATTACTAAATGAGTGCTAATTCGAAATTCACCTTTTCGTCAGCTTGGAGATCTGGGGAAGTTACTGGTGCTGAAGGTGTTGAAAGTACTGCTGAAACGGAAGAAGGATGAATTTGCTTTTGCTGTAGAATAAGCTGTCGTTCCCGGCGACGCAAACGGACGGCTGATAGAGATGCTTCAGGCGAGATTATTGCACCAGACACTGACACAGCTGCCGCAGATACAGCTTCAGCTGAACGTAGTGTTCCGGCAACAAGCCCACGGGCCTCTCCTGTTTCAGATTCTCCAGTGTTGATATTGCTTTCTCCGCAGCTCGAAGTGAAGGTGGATGGTGGAGCCGACAAAAGAAGTCGTGAGTAGGTACCAGAGGACGAGCAACCAGCATTAGGGTTTATTGAGGAACCAGTCGTCACAGCGAGTATACCTGAGGCTGTGTTGTTGGCTCCACTGGAACCACTAGTAGAGCTACATCCACTAAATGGCATCAGCGAAGTAGTGTAGAGGGCAGGGTGTGAGGCTGTATTTGGGTACAAGTGATTCCGAGTGAAAATTAAATAAAAACATGAGAAAGGTATAAACTATGATTTCGCAATGCGCTTCGCGAAACTGGTGATATACGATGTGTATATAATAAAAATTAGGTAATAGGAAAATATGCTACAAACTATTATCAACCCTTTAAAAACAGCTTAAACTAATAAAATGGGCCGACCTGGATTTCGCAAATTGATCATATTGCCAAGGAGACTTAGCTGGACGCATCTTGTTCGAAGTCCTCTCCTCTAGCAGTTATCATAATGCCCAGCGTCGGACCATCGACTTGGTACATTCCCAGATGTTTCACCGGCATCGTAGTCGGCATCTTCATTGAATCTTTCCATTCTCAACACCAAGCTACAACTTGTCAAATAAACGAGTGAAGTTGATCCTCTGAACAACTGTCTGCTAAACAGTTGTCATATCTCTCCTGTCCTGGTATATTCACCTATTTTATATCTTCGCAGCACCACTTCATTATGAAAATTTCTTACTTGTTTATCTAAACTAATTCACATTCCCCTCTGGGTCCCACAAACCCACATTGTGGGAATGTTGATCCAAGGCAGCAGTTTAATCCGCAATCCTCTTCTTCCAGGTCCTATCAGAGTCCGTAGGATCTGTCACCCATTTGCCTGGTTCAGTAATTTCACTTGATTGCAGCCACCATATCAGTGATACTCAATGCATTATAGTCTGCGCTCTGCTTCAAGCATTTGATAGCACGCATAGGCCAGCCTCCCTGAGTAAGCTCCTAAAGTCTTTATTCTCAAGCTGCATACAAAACTAACTTGACTCTACAGATTTCCTTACCACTGTTCAGCATGTGCACCAGACAAATCTCGTAGTCAAGCCTTTAC